TTGCCACGAGCCCTCCAGGTTTGGCATTGTTACCCCCAGTTTACAGACAGGACTCAAAGAACTAAGTGCCAGGCTAGTTTGTAACTGGCTGGATCAGGATTCAAACGCAGGTCTGTCTGGGTTCTTTCCATCTCACCCTTAGTCTTCCTCAGAAAGAAGCACTAACCCAACTTAGGACTGATCCTGGGTGAGCATCTCAGGTAACAACCATGGTCATGGGGTTTATGGACCGTCTCCATGAGATGAAGTGGGGGTGGAACGTGGTCCCAGGGTAAAGGCATTGAATACAGTTTCCTTGCACAGAGAGCAGAGGTAAATGCCTCATTTATACACAGTCATCACACTAGTAGGGACAAGATGCCCTCCATCTTGTTTTTATCCTGATTCTGTGGGGAGGTCTGTAATGAAACAACTAGTTTCAGGGAAACTATGGTATTTGCTACCCACACAAGAGCAGAAGCTGTTTCTGTAGCTTTTCTGCCTTACCGATAACTTCTGGGTTTTAATCAGGCTGTCAGATCTCTCCTTTACCAATGTAGCACTTGTATACCTCACCTCTCAATTTGTATGCTGTCACTGTCTATCCTCAATTCTAATATGTCCTTGATCCCAAGAGGCACCTTTCTTTTTTCTCACTTTAATGTCTGTGCAACTGGCACACATTTTGTAATTGAGGTCTATATTTAATCTGGTGGAGCTGTTTAAATTGATGTTACATTTTTAGAATGGATGGAGACCAGGAATTCTGGAAATATGATAATTCATGCATTTGTTCAACTCGTCAAATGCCTACAATAAACGTCAGGCATTATGCTAGATGCTTGGAATATAGAAGTAGCCAGTACATAGTCCCTTGCCTTAGGGAGGTCACAGTCTAGACAGATCAACAGTTAAGCTCATTTGAACAAGGGCTTTGAATTTGGGGAAGCAGGGTGTGTGGGGGGTCAGAGGAAGGAGGGAAAGGAGGCAGGGAGGCTGGGACCACTTTAAGAAGAAGGTATATCATGAAGAAAGTAGGAATACGAAAGAGTTGGGAGTGGGTTGGGTTGGGGAATTCTGGACATATCGACTAGTTGGAGCAAACAAAGGTTCAGAACCGTGAGACAGTAGGATGTGTTCCTGAGCCTCAAAGGGTTCCTTGTGGCCAGAATGGAGGGGGTGTGGGGAGACCTGGGATGAAACAAGGCTGCAGGGATAGGCAGGGGGCAGATCATGGGGGACCTCAAGCTCACGCAAATCAGTGTAATCTCTCTCCTGAGTCTGATGGCAAGCCATTGAGGGGTTTTAAGCAGGGGAGTGATGTCCCAATTTGTGTTGGAACTCCGTGTAGAAAGTGGGTGGAAAGAGGATGGTGGGGGTGGGGGGTGGAGGAGGTGGACAGAGTGATAGCTATTGAAAGGGAAAGAAGTGGGAAGGGTATAGCTGAGCAGTAGAGTGCATACTAAGCATGAGGTCCTGGGCTCAACCCTTAGTACCTCTGTTAAATAAACAAATAAATAAACCTAATTACCCTCCGCCCAACCAAAGCAAAACAAGAAAAAAAAAAAGAAAGAGAAAGAAGAATGAAGCAGAAAGCCTCGTTTTTATTTCCTAGTCCCAAGCAGCATGCGGGGTGGGTGGGGGGGGGCCTGATCATGGAGGCTTGAGGAAGATCACACGGTGGTGACAGGGCATCTAGAACTAGAACCTGCAGGCACAAGGGACCTTGTTCTGACCTTCACCCCATCCCGCGTGCCCTTGTCTCAGGAGAGCCACGTGAGCAATAGGCAGGCTGACTGTATGAACGGATGGATGCTGGGAAAAGCCAGAAAAAGAAAAGCTTTCCACTTGCCTCTGCTCGTTAAAGAAGGAACATATCCACCGACCGCGGTGACACTTCAGCTTATACTTGCCACATTCGTTCACCAATCAGAACTTCTTGCAAATGGACGGGATACGCAGTGGACCAAGTGTGCTTAAGTGCTGTAGGAGATAAGCACTAACTGTCATGAGGAAACAGGAGATAAATCGCTGCGGCTGTGCCCGAGAGTCACACGGAAAGCACAATCAATATTGTGGAGTGGTCCACGACCAGAGCTACCCAGGGGAGGGATGCTGGGCTGAGAGGAGGAGGGACCTCCTCCACCACACTGGGGATGCTGTGAAAGGGTTGGGAGGTGACTGTTGGTACAGTGACCCGAGTCTTAACGGTTCTTTTCCCCTTCCACTTCCCTGAACAGGTGCAGTGTCATACTTACACGGGGTACTGCTGGTGTGTCACCCCAGACGGGAAGCCCATCAGTGGCTCTTCTGTGCAGAATAAAACTCCTGTATGTTCAGGTACCGTAGGGAGGGGCGGGAAGAAAGAAAAGGGTTGGAGAGAAACCTCTTGGCTGGTCTCTGGCATCTTGTGGGGGAACCTTTGAAAGACTGGCGGTGGTTAGGAGCCCACTTCCAGGAAAGGGAGGACTCTACCCAAACACACTTGCTCTGTAGTCAGCGGGGTGATAGCATCAGGATATGACTGTGTTAGGTGTTTATTCTGTGTTTAGGTTTCTGGCTCAGTGCTCTTTACCCAAGTGTCGGCTGTAACCTCTAGAGCACAGCTTGTACGTTTTTAGCTTGTGTGCTCTGATTGCTGGTGGCCCTGGGAGCAGTTTATTGAGATGTATTTCAAGACTGCATGGGAGTTCAACATCGAAGGCTGTGATAATCAATTAGTGATATCTATCATGGCGTAGGAGAGGAGGGGGTGGCCCTTGTGCCGTGTGTTTGCCATCCCTGAACGATGTAATGTCTAGTGATGAAAAACATTCATGACAGTGGCCCTCGAGTCCGGCTGTCCTCAGCAGTGCCTGGGGAATTAAAAAGAACCCAGGTGTTGAAGGCTTCTTATGTCGTCTGAGCCGGTAGGTCTGGAGTGAGACTTGGAGTCCACGTGTTTATGAAGCTTCACAGACGGTTCTGATGATTAGATGAGTCAGGGAACCACAGCTTTGTAGTGACCCTCTGGGTTAGTAAAATATTACTAGCTCATAGCAAAATCAAGCCCTTTCTATTTTCAATTTTATAGGCACAGAGAAAATTTGTTCTTAGGTCAGTTTCATGGGGATTGTGCACTATGAATTTACATTGTGAAGCCCCACGCCTCCCACTTCTATTCAGATGGTGAGGGATTTGGGAATTACTCCCTTAATTTACTCTGCAGCTCAGCCCGCATTTAAGAAAAAAAAAACCCAAACCAGCCTATCCTACCTGCTAGCTGTTTCATATTTCTCTGTAATCTGTGTCTATGAGATTTTCTTCATTTACTTATGTCTAATTTTTAAGTGCAGGCAAAATACAAAACATTATTCTAAAACCTATGGGAAATTCAGAAGGCTCACGGTCCTGCTATCCTAGCGTTTTTTTCTTTTTCACTAAACTTACTCATTTTTCAACCAGCCCTGCTATCTGCTGTATAAGGGGGAAAGTAAGTGGGAAGGGCGGTCAGTATCTACATTAGGAAACCAGAGTTTGCAGGCAAAAAAGGAAAGTTTACTTTATTTGTGGTTTACATGGAAACTGGAAACCTTAGTTGGGGTTGGTGTGGGGAGGAGCAGGAATGAGCCTTCCTTGCAAATGACCTGGAAAGTTTCATTTAAAGCAAACAAATGCGCTAGAAACAAGTCATGCAGGGTAATACAATTGGATTCTCACAAACTAGTATATGGAGAAGGGTATGGATTGGGAAAGATTTCTTCTCCTTTGCTGCAGGGACGGCCACAGATGCCCTTCTGTGGCTGCGCTGGCTCTGCCTTGCAGGTGGGGGTTGGTCTTTGTGGAGGAGGCAGGTGCAACAGGGTCGGGACCCTCGGATGGGTCCACATGGTCTCCTAGCACAAAGAGGGCCAAGCGCTTGGCCAAACCCACACGCTACCCCCTCCTCGAGGAACAGGCTGCATCTAGAAAATTGCTTCCATGCCTCAGACAAATTTGGCCCATTCAGGACAATTGGGCCAACAATTTTCTACTTAATGCAGATGGAAAATCGCCGATTTCCTGCCCTAACCAGCAAGGACTGTCAATCACTGCATTCGCAGCGAGAGGGGTTTTCTTTTCAGTTGGCCCTCCTGACTGGATATGGCTCAGAACATGGAGTTGGTGGGAAGTGGAGGTGAGGGGCAGTCACTGGAATGTTCAACAGAGGAGTTATGTGGATGTGGAATTTTGTAAAAATCTGGTCCAGTCTATTGCCAGGAAGCCTGGAAATCATGGCTCATCTCAACAGTGCTGTGATATCAGTGACATTGATGTTAAACAAACCCCACTTGCATGTATGTATGTCCTCACTTTGTATATAATGTTCCTAGATGTGTATACAGTATGTATATATACATAACCGTATGCTCATAACATCAGGCTTTACCAACTCTTTGAAAGAAGCCAACCACGATGCATTCTGAACGTCTGTGTTTTTGTTTCCCCTCTCACCCAAGGTTCAGTCACCGATAAGCCCTTGAGCCAGGGTAACTCAGGAAGGAAAGGTGAGTAGAGTTTCACGCTTTATCTAAATGTTTGCTTCTAAAGCCAGTCCAAGCAGGCGTTCTTAGACAGGATGGAAGGAGCCTGGGGTGAACACTTAAAATGCCCCGCAGAAATCCCCATTCTTATTTTGTGTTTCCTCCCAGAAGCATCGGAGGTAAGGAAGGCTCAAACCATGGTGGGGGCCAAGCTCCCAGAATTTCTGAGAGAGGTGGGCGAGTGCAGTGCACAGGGCTGGCAGGGACCCCAAGACTCCTGGCTCCTGGGAATTTCGGTCAATCAACTACCAGTGTAGCCAGTATTAAACAGAAATGGACAATGGAGGCAGGCAGGCCCCAGTCTGCCCTGGCTCTTATTTTGGAATCCCATCTGAGCATTTTTTTTTTTCTGATTCTTCTTGATGATTGTTCCAGCACATCCAGAGTCTCTTCGCTGAGAGTAGGATGCTTCATGGGCATGCAACCTGGGCAGCCGTTGTCTTGAAATTCTTAATTATTTTGCCTTTGAGCTTGCGTTTTGTAAGTCCAGTTCAATGGGACGATGAAGTATGTGTGCAGGCAGAAGAGACACGTGTGCCATGCATACCTGCTGCAGTCTCATTTGCAGATGGCTTCGGTAATGCAGGCTATGGGGCTTCCATATTACCCTAGAAAGTTTATTTTTCGTTACCTAAAACAGCATTAAATAGCAAATTAAAACACACTATAACATGTCAAGAGAGAGACTGTAGAAGAGAGGATAAGACTATATTTTAGTGTCTTTCATTCCCCCCCTTTTTTTCTTGCTTTTTGAACAAAAGGCTTTGCATTTTCATTTTGCATTGGGCCCTACAAATTATACAGCCAGCCCCGACTGGGGCATGTGTCTGAGCGCTGTTTAGTGCATCAGCCAACATAAGAAATCGGTCCCTGGGATATGGGGGTCATACTTTCCAGTGGGGGAGGCACTACGAGGCACCACTTCTTGCCTCCAGGACAGCATACACGCAGAGACCTGGTAGCCGTGTGGGAAACAGCTACAGCAGTTTTATTGCACGTGCAAGGACTCCAGATCCCCTGTTTTGGGTTCTCGGGTAAAACTCAGACAGGAGATCTTGGCTGAGTTTGAGGCTTTCCACCTGAATCTGGGCCTTGGGAACTTCATGCTCATAAGAGTCCACGTGGAGAGTTGGGCCTGCAAGGATCAGCATGAGGCACATAGGCAAGGCCCTGGACCTTGTCCCAGGTGCTTATCCCGTGGGGACCAGAAGAGGAGGCAATGTCCCCCTGCCTGAAAGCAGGAGTTGAGAGTCTGGAGAACCTGCTGTCCCTGAATGCAGGTGCTCCAAGAAGATGTGGAAGTGGAGCTTGGTGATACCACCAACAACTAGAAACCATGGACCAAGGGACCTGATGAGCTGCTACCCTTCTGGTGAGGAGGGACGAGTAAGTGGGCAAAAAGAAGGGAGCAGGTGCCTTTGCAGGTCCTTCCCAGCACAGGAGCACAGGGGGAGACAGCCATCCGTGTTGGCAGCTCCTTTCTAGGTGGGAAGGTAGGAGAGAGGATGGACGTTTCTTTCTGCAAAGACCTGAGATCATCAACACTGAGGGTGGTGTGGATCTGCCTACAATTTACTGGGGTTGGAAAAGGGAGCTGCCTTCAGTTTTGTTTGTTGCAATTAACATCTTCAGGAGCATCGCCTTTATTCCTGGACATGAGATCTTAGTGGTAGGGGAAAAAAATGAGCAATCATGCAAAACAGACCATCCAGACTTTCTCTACCAAAGGGGGTGCATGATGCTGAATGAAGCGCCTGAACCAAGAAAGGCCAACCAGGTGTTCTGGTTCTTAAACTGTACGGAGGAGTTCTTTCCAGGTTATTGTGGCTTTGAACCCTGTGGATAACAATAAGGGACCTGTGGTCATGGCGGGCTCTTGCTGACCCAGCTAGAAGAGGGCAGGGGAACCTGATTCCTCCAGGGAGAATGCAGGGAACAAGGGGGTAGAGTCTGAAGCCTCATCTCAGGGGGACAAGTTGCCACCATCAGTTCTCAGCTCCTTGCTTCTGCACCCCGGGGGGTTCCTCCCTCCCAGGTGGGAGGCCTGGCAGGGGGTGGGGGTGGGGGAGATGTGCCAGCTCACTTGCCCCTGGACACTTGACTTTTGCCCAGTGGCCTCTCTCTGCTTGTACTTTGGAGGATCTGCAGAGGTGTTGATCCTCTTATCTTTGTCTGCCGTGAGCAGGGCAGTGGAAAGCAGGTTTGGGCCACCTGTAGCCACCTGAAGCCACACCTGTCCAGGAAGCTGGAGTTTGAATGGGGACAGGGTGCGAGAGGGCATTTGTAATATCCTGTGTCAGCCCGCCAAGGTCCCTCTCTCAGCTGCTACTTAAGAATGGAATGTGCTCCGGAGGGCAGCAGGTGGGAGGACACAAAGGCCCCTTGTCTGAGCTTGTGCCCACACGTGGGGTCTCCTAGAAGGCACCTCCCCAGAGCCACAGCCTGCAGCCCGAGACCTGCGGACAGGGATGCTAGGCTCGGAACATCATTCAGGGTGAGGAGGACAGCAAGGGAGGAGGTGAGGCTGGGGGTCTAGGTGAAGGTGGCGGGGGAGGAGCAGAGCCAGCCCCTTCTTTCCCTACTTGCTTGCCTTTTTGAACGTGCTCCACAGACGGGGCTTGGAGGGATCGGTTCTCTCTGCCTGGGAGGAATGAAAAGGCGTATTGTGCGGTGGAGGGTCTGGTTGCCAGCCAGGAATCAGTCCTCCGAAGGAGAGGAGGAGAAAGGCAGAGTGGGAGGAGGCTGGGGGAGAGGCCCAGGGAGATAGCAGGAGGTAGGCAGGGAAGAGGGAGCGGCCAGGCGGTAGCAGGTCACCGCCGTCTGGCCCAGGAGGGAGGTCTGGGTTGCTCCTGCTCCTGGGTCCACAGGTGCGGGGCCCGAGGGGAGAAGTGGGGAAAGGAGGGAGGGGGCCCGATTATCTTACCCAGATGCACGTGCTCCGGGAGGGGAGGAGGGTCAGAACTTCAGACTATTTACTTAATCCCTTGGAATGTCCTTGCCTTGCTCTGTTCTTTGGGCCCCTTGTGTTTCACGAACTCCTTTATGGGCACATGTGTGGTAATTAACACATGCAGGGTAGGTCCTGGGCCATGTGTTTGAGTTTCAAATATCCGTTGATCTGGGGCACTCCCATCTTGCTGCCCCTCCCTTCTTCTCTTTCGGTCCTCATCCTTAAAGAGAGATGGAAGGGGTATGTGCGTGTCTTGTGGGGGGTGAGGGGCACACGTGCATCCACATGTGTTTTATTGATGCTCCAGAGAAATATCAGAAGAGAGGAAGGGACCCCCAGTAGCTCCTTGAGCCCTGACAATCTGCTGCTGCTAAAACAGTCCAAGGCTGCTGCAATTGAGAAAGAGAAAGGAATTTTTGGTTTCCATTGAAGTAGCCCGACGAAAAATGGCTGGGAAGCGGAATGTGTTTAGAGATCATGATTTTACCCTGATTGGCTTTTCCTGCCCCCCCACCCCGGCTTGTCGATTTTGCTGAGGTGCTTCTTTTTGGGGTCTGGATGCTAGTGGATGTGGGGGAGTTTCCAGGATAACCAGACACAAAGTCAGGGACTGGTCCAGGCATCATTGCTTATGAAGTGTGGGAGGGACATTGTCGGCCTCCAGTGGGATGGTGGAGGGGCGGGTGGAGAATGATTAAGTGGGAGAATGATGGGAGAGCACTTGGACAGTGATCTCTGGCAGTTCTCTGGGAGCTTTCTCTTCTGAGCACCCATGACCTTAGAGATCCCGGGGTCTTGCTTCAATACATGGCAAATGAAAATTTAGGGTCATCAGGAATTTTATGCAGTTTCTTCTTTTCCAGCTTGTAAGTGGTCTGTGAGTGAGCAGTTTAAGGAAAGTGAGAGGGAATAAAAACATTAGCAGACTTCTTCCATTTTTTACATGGCCTTCTGTATTTGTCAAGGCGGTCTTCGAGAGAAGCAGAACTTCCCAAACACAACCCCCCTTTAATTTGCAAAGACTTCTTTTATTCCCCACTGGCTGTCCCACAGGATGTGTTCCAAACAGAATGAGTCACAATTATTTCTCCAAGGTCCTTCTCTGGGTCTCTGTTTTTAGAATCTCTCTTGGCACCCAGTCTACAGGTTGGTGCCAACTTAGAGACCTTGTCACTGAAGTGATGGAGCAACTGACAGTCTCGTTCAAGGCTGAAGGATGTGTTTAGGGCAGGGGTGATGGGTGGCAGGCTTCCCAGATGAAGGGACCATGTGGCTTCTAGCATAAGCCCTCAGAGGGGTAAAGCACACCAGAAGGAGGTTTACTTCATTGCCCCCAGCCTGGCTGAAGTGTGCAAGGCTGGCTGTCTCAGATGGTTCTATACGTGGTTCTATAATGTTCCCATGACTTTAACCTCTTCCCAGCAACCTCTTTTTTCTCGTTGCCTAGCACCGAGTGGGAAGCTGGATCATAGTAGATCTGTCAGCTTTGCCATCAAATGGCAGGAACCTGAGTATCTACCAGCCTGGGTGGGACCTCTAGGGGTTGGCTTCTGCTCACACTGGATTTCCCTGTGGAGAGGCATTCGTTCTGGTACGTGCCTGCTGCCACAAACTGTGCCTCAGCAGCTCCAAGCCCACGAGAGGCAGCTCTTTTCCTCTGCATGCATCTTGCTGCTGCTTCCTGCTGCTCTGAGCCACCTGACCAAGCCTGGCATATCAGCACGTCGACTGCAGAAGGGGTGTGCGTGAGCGTGCTGGAGTGTTCGTGCCTGGACCACATCTCCCTTCTACCTACAGTTAATTACTCTCCCAGGACGGTTCCATCTACTCAGTGCCCCACCCTCTTCTCAGCCCCTCTTCTATGTTCTCCAAAAGAAAGTTTATGCATGGAAGTTACTAAACTAAGAGGAGAATCTCTGCCGTATCCTTATTTCCAAGGACTGGAGAGGAAATGGGGGTTAGTGATCTGGAAAATTCTCTTGACCATATATCCAAACAAGTCCCTGGTATTATT